GATCAGAAGAAGAAACACCCATATCAGCAAGGAGCCAGCGAAGCCAGAGAAGTTCCTGAGTAGTATCAGCAAGAGCTCGGTATTCAGCTTCGGTGCTAGAGCGGGCAGTGAGGGATTGTTTTTTGCTACGCCAAGCAAGAAGATAATCCCCTAAGAAGAAGCAGAATCCCATGGTGGAGCGTCGATCCGTAGGATCCCCAGCCCAATCAGCATCGGAAAAGGCACGCAGTTCAAGAGATGAGGAAGCAGAGAAGTGAAGGCCATGGAACAGAGTGCCTTTGAGGTAGCGAAGGATGCGAAGTAGAGCAGTATAATGGGGAGTGTGAGGAGCCGACATGTACTGACTGACAAGGTGAACAGCATAGGCAATGTCAGGACGAGTTACTGTGAGATAGACAAGACTGCCGACGAGCTGGCGATAAAGAGTAGCATCAGAGAGAAGAGTCCCATCGAGAGGAGTGAGACGAATTTGAGGATCAACTGGAGTAGAGGTAGTTTTGTAATCAGTAAGACCAGCACGAGCCAGAAGATCGGATGCATATTTGGCCTGGGACAAATAGGAACCAGTAGAATCATGAGAGACTTCAAGGCCTAAGAAGTAGTTAAGAGTACCAAGGTCCTTCATCTCAAATTGTCGGTGGAGAAACTGTTTGAGGTGGAGAATACCAGCTTCATCATTACCAGTGATAATCATATCATCCACATACAGAAGAAGAAGAGTGGTACCATGAGAAGTAGTCCGTATAAAAAGAGTAGAGTCATAAGAGCTAGAGGTGAACCCGAAGTCATGAATGGTAGAACTGAACGTAGTAAACCAAGCACGAGGCGCTTGCTTGAGGCCATAGAGAGCACGCTGTAGTTTGCAAACCTGATGAGGTTGAAAAGTGGACCCAGGTGGAGGTTGCATGTAGACCTCCTCAAGAAGATGACCATTGAGGAAAGCATTTTTGACGTCCATCTGAAAGAGCCCCCAGTGGCGAGCAGTAGCAATAGCAAGTAAACTGCGAACAGAGGTAAGCCGAGCAACAGGAAAGAATGTCTCCTCATAATCAATACCATATTCCTGGTTGAAACCCTTGGCAACAAGACGAGCTTTGTAGCGTTCAATAGAGCCATCAGAATGTGTTTTGATTTTGTAAACCCATTTGCAACCAATCGCAGTCTTGCTAGGAGGAAGATCAACAAGATCCCAAGTATGAGCTTTGTCCAAGGCTTGGAGTTCATCAGTCATAGCTTGCTGCAAAAAAAGATTAGTACAAGCCTCACGATAGGAGGTAGGTTCATAAGTAGAGAAGGCAGCAGATCCAACAATATAATCACGAAGATGGATAGGAGGTTGAGTTACCCGGCGTGGTCGACCCGTAGGAGGATCGGTGGGAGGAAGAACTGGTGGAGAAGGAGGTGTGGCAATAAGAGGTAGACCTTCAGGGAGAGCAGGCTGGATAGGATCAGGAGTGAGCAACGGCGTCTCGATGAAGGAGGAACCTGTATCAAAATCAGCAGAGAAAAGATCTATGGAAGGATTAGTAAACAGTACAGTAGTGGAAAGTGCAGGTAAGTGAAAGAAGGATAACGAGGAAAACATTTGGTGCTCCTAGAAAACAACATGGCGGGAGATACGAAGACGTTTAGAGAGAGGATCCCAATAGCGAAAGCCTTTATGTTCAATTCCATACCCAAGAAAGCAACAAAGACGAGAACGAGGTTCAAGCTTGGTGTGTTCATGGGATTGAAGTAGAACAAAGCAGGCAGAGCCAAAAACCCGAAGATTGGCGTAAGGAGAGGGAGTGCCATGCAGACGTTCAAAGGGAGTTTGATTATGGATGACAGGGGTAGGAGCACAGTTGATAGTGTAAACAGCAGTGAGGGCAGCTTCCCCCCAAAAGTTTTCAGGGCAGGAAGAAGAGAGAAGGAGAGCGCGAGTAGTGTCAAGAATATGCCTATGTTTCCGTTCAGTGCGGCCATTTTGCTGGGACGTGCCAGCACAAGAACGATGAGGCAGTGTACCATGATGCTGAAGAAAGGAAAGGAAATCTGAATCCCGATATTCCATAGCATTGTCAGAGCGAAAAATTTTGATGGCTTTGGAGAATTGGGTGTGGACCATTTGGGCAAATCTATAATAAATGTGTTTAAGTTCAGACCTATTTTTCATGAGAAAAAGCCAAGTAAACCGGGAAAAATCATCAATAAAAACAACAAAATAGCAGGATCCCCCCATAGTAGTAGTAGGGGAGGGCCCCCAAATATCCGAATGTATAAGATCAAAAGGTGCAAGGGAAACAGAACTACTTTTATTAAATGATAAAGCAGGTTGTTTGGCAAGTTGACAGGGTATACAATCGAAATTATCGGGAATTACATGACCAACTGTCCACTAGAAACCAAAGACTTTAAGCGATTAACAGAAATATGCCCTAAGCGACAATGCCAAAGATGAAAGGGAGATAATGAGGAAGTAGATGTAGGAGCATCGATCTGAGGAGAGGCAGGAACATGAAGGTGAATGAGTTCATAGAGACGTCCATGCTTACGGCCGATCCCAATAGTCTGCCCCGTCTGAGGGTCCTGTACCAAACAATCAGTAGCAGAAAATGTGACAATTAGACCAAGTTCACATAATTGACCAATGGAAATAAGGTTTAAGGTAAGAGCAGGGATATGATAAACTTGAGGTATAGATAAAGAAGAGGTGGAAACAGTACCAACATGACGGATAGACATGAGGGAACCATCAGCAGTATGTATTGAGGGAATATGAGGAGATGAAGATAAGGAAGAAAAGATAGTAGAATTGGAGGTCATATGATTACAACAGGCAGAGTCAAAATACCAAGAAGAGTTACCTGGGATTATAGACAAAGCAGTAGGAGGAGGTGTACCAGATGGGGAGAGAAGTTGTTTGAGCATGGCCTCTACATCCGTCGGAGAAAAGCGAGGGGTAGATGGAGCAGGTGACTCAGAGAACCCCACTGAGGCAGCAGTATCAGTATGATGAGACTGATTCCCGGAAGCAGCGGCAGCAGTGTGATGAGACTGATTCCCGGAAGCAGCAGTAGCAGTGTGATGAGACTGATTCCCGGAACCATGAAAGCTTTCCCGGGAAGAGCCACCGCGATAGGAGTGGCTATTGGAGGATGATCGGGATGGATTGCGAAAACAATCCCGTTGCAGATGACCAGGACCAAGTTTGTTGCAGTAACGGCAGGATCTGACGGGGCAATTGACCAGGAGATGGGTTGAAGGAAGGCCCCGATTCTGACAACAGAGGCAAGCAGTGGTCCGCTGGGTAAATGATGGCCAGGACAGAGGAGTGGCAAGAACAGAGTCCACATGATGAGTTTGAAGAGTACCGAGACGAGTCTCCTCTGATAACAACTCAGAAATTGCTTGTTCAAGAGTGGGCAATGGATGGCGATGAAGCAGAGAGGCACGTACGGGCTCAAAGGAGGAAGTAAGAGCCATGAGAAAGTGCACCAACCTTTGCTGGTTGCGATAGATAGTAAATAAAACAGCATCTTCGTTGTTATGCCAAGTTGGTTCTGAAAGAGCAAGCTGATCCCAAACAGAGTACATTTGAGAAAGGAAGTCATTAATGGACTGAGTGGATTCTTGGCGCATGCAGTGAAGTTGGTTCTGAAGTTGATATTGATGGGCAAGACCAGTAGTCTGGTATCGTTCTTTCAAAAAATCCCAGATGTCTTTTGCAGGAGTTGTTACAAAGTCAAGCTGAAAGCGACCAAACTGAAGACTGATAGACGTAATAGAAGTATTTCGAAACCAGGTAATGATTTGGTAATTCTTACTATCCCATTCTTCAAGACGATCTTCATATGTAGGAGTAGCAGGGGAAACAGTGGTTTCAGTAGTGTCTTTCATCGGTTGGGTTATGTCCCCGGTGATAATTCGCCAGAGCTTCTTTCCTTTGAGGAAGGAAGACATGGCTTGGGCCCATAGAACATAGTTGGAACCATTCAAAATAACGGAAATGGGATGGGAGGCATCATGACGATCCATAGTAATAGTTGAGTAGGGCTAAATTGATAGGAATAGACCTGTAGGAGCAAAATAGGGTAAAACAGAGTGTACCAGTGAGTCCGGAAGGCCGAAAATAGCTAGGAAATGTGGGCTGTATAGAGATGATGTCAGCAGGATGGAAAATGATGTCAGCGGCGCACGTTAGCAGAGAGGGCGTGCGGCGCACGGTAGCAAAGAGGGCGTGCGGCGTATAGTAGCAGAATGGCGCACGCGGGTGCACAATAGCGAAACGGCGTACGCGCGGCTCACGGTAGACGAATGGCGCACGCGGGTGCACGGTAGCAGGCGTGGCGCACGAAAGGGCAAAGTGGAAGGCGCGTGAAGGCGCGTGTGAGCGTGGCAACAGAAGCAGAGACGTGCCGAGCAAAGAGGCGGCGCGTGAGAGCGTATGAGAGAGTTTCTGGTGACGGGCTTGGTGCCGTTGGAATCGTAAGGAGATTCCGAGCTGTTTGGTGTAGTTCCACTGTGTACGGAACTAGGCACCAAAATTGAAGAATGCCAGAATTGTATTACTGGGCTCTGATACCATGAAATAATAGTTTGAGAAAGTGAGAGAGGATAGAGAGAGAGAGAGAGAGAGAGAGAGACAATGTATTGTTTGTCTGTCAATAAATGTGTATCTTACAAAGAGAATGCTGCACTCTCTTTATAGAGAGAATTATGGTGCATTGGATGCTGATGCACACCGAAAGCATAAACATAAAGAATAAAGTGCTAAAGTTAGTAATAATTAAAGCTATTAACAATTATACACTAACATAACAATTATACACTAACACACAGGAATAAAAGAACATAAATTTGTTATGTTTTGTATTCAAAACTGAGGTTATAAGGTAAAGGAGGAGATATTCTTGCCTAGTTTGCCTTGATGGAATGTTCATTGTGTAATCCATCTGATAAGCAAGCATGTATGCATTCACCTAATTTGCAATATCATAAATTTCACCAAGTACAAGACATTTTGTAAAGCTTGAAGTAATCTTATAAAGTACAAAACATACTCCAAAGTACACGTGATACCTTGTGTAAGTTGAAACCTAACCATTGCATTTGTTTTGAAGCTTCCATAGTTCCATCTATATTTTATTTCAGCAAAAGAAAATAGTTGGCTCTCATGTTATTTCGGACTTTCTTTTTTTAAACAAGCTAGCTATATACCATGATATTGAGTCAAATTGAGGCGAATCATGTACGGATATGCTATAGAACCACAATATAAATGGTCTGCAATCTTTATCCCAGTAGTAATAAGTGACAATCCGGAGTCATAATAGTGGGCAATTGGTTTTCCTTCCAAATCAACAGCTAAAAGCCCTCCATTTTTCTTCATATGCGGTCGTCCTATGTACCTCTCTATGATTGTCAAAACTTTTTTGAGAAGAGGATATCTCTGTGTTAAATCCCAAGAAAATGTAGTTACCTGCAAAAATTGCATGAACAAGTCGATGCCATTAGTAATAATGTTAACCAAATTCATTCAACATTTAACAACATTACAAAATGATACAAGTTGTACATGAAAAAAAATTACATTAAGGGATCAGCAAGAAAAATGACACACTAGTCATTACATATATTACACGACCCATTACTTCTCTTTAATCAAGAAGTATAAAATAAATATGTAGATCATATGTTATTTGGTTTGTTTTAAAAGTTATATTGTCATATATTAGTGTAAAAGGGGATGATTTTTGTAAATAAAATGTACAATTTTCATTACCTTGCCTAATCCAATCCAATATTGGCATTTTCCATCATATCGTATGTTGTCAGGTATGCCAGGTAAATTATCAATAAATGTATCAACATAGCCCTTTCTTTCACCTTGTATGTAGTACCTTTTACACCTCCTCCTGCAAATTTTAACTTACAAAATGTAAATGAGTATTGCCAATTCAAATAAACTCTTATATTGAATATAGCCTACAAATAATAGAAACAAGCTTGAGCCCAAAGTAAGCATGTTAACAACAATTTGTGAGGGGAAAAGCAAAAGCATACATTATTTCACAGAAAATCACAAAACTTTGATCTGGCGAGACTGCTACTCCATTAGCAAAGTAGATGTCACGAACCAACACTTTGGTTTGTTTTGTTGATGGATCATAGCTCATAAGTCTACCATAAGGTTGACCTTGCGAAATTTCCTGTGTCATTTCATTTAAATTGTATTTTTCTGATGCATCTGTGAAATAGAGCATACCGGCATCTGTGATATCAACACCATCTGTTAGCTTGAACTTCACACCCTCAGCCTCATCTGTTAGCAGGTCAATCGCTCCATCTGAAGTTACTTTTAACAAGCCCTACACCCATAAAATTCTCTGTTAAACAAAATACACGATATGTATATTTACGTTGGCCGTGCATGGTTTGTGTTTGAGAAAAAAATTTCAATTTTTTTTTTTAAAAAAAAAATGAAAACTAGTTTGCTAAAAATAAATATAAAAATATAATTTTAAATTTAAAAAAATTATTTATGACCTCTTAAAAATAAAATTATATAAAAATAATAAGTATTTTTAAAATTTTTATTTCTTTCACTAAATTAATTTTTAATTTTGTTTAAAAAAAAATCTTAAAACCAAATCAAACATCACCATCGTGTATGAGAAACAACATAATATTATAAAGTCAACTTGAGTCCTATGTGAAACAGATAACAATTTGTACATCATCGCGTGCATCATCTCAAAATTATGTACACATACGCTAGAGAGACTCTGATTTTTGTAATTATCTTTTAATCCCAATTTTGAGATTTATTTTACCTAGCATATCACCCTTACTATGTACGGATTATGTTTATAATTATTTATATATGTGAATTGTGATTTTTAAATATTTTTTTTAAATGTCTTTTTTTTTCATTTTTTATATTATATTAAAGTTTAATATTTTGACAATAATCATATGTGTTGGACTTTTCAAAGAATTAAATGTCTTTTTTTATTATTATATTATATTAAAGTTTAATATTTTGATAATAATCATATGGGTTGGACTTTTCAAGAAATTTTTTTTATGCTTGCTCTTAATGCATTAAAGTGTTATTATGAAAGATAATAATCATATGTGTTGGGACTTTTCAAGAAATTCATATGTGCTGAATTTCAAAGAATTTTTTTTTATATTTGTTCTTAATGCATTAAAGTGTTATTATGATGGTAAGACTTAGGAGTTGGGAGAAGTTAATAAATGGTAAGATTTTTTTTTTTTTAAATCAGGAAATTTAAATTGAGAAATTAGAACTCTCACAAAGCTTGGGGTTAAAAATCTTATTTTACTTAATATATAGTATAGATGAAGACCCTAAATTATCAAGTAGTTGCATTTTAAACGCTATAGAAAGAGGTGACACACAAAATTTAAATCCAAGACTTTCTGTTCCATTAAAAATACTATTATCATTATTTTGGTAAGCTGGTTAAAAATCAACTTTTGACTTTTTAGTTTTTTAATTTTTTTAGATCATAACACATCATTTTTTTACTTTTTTTATATGATTTATCAAAAAAAATTAAAAAATTAACTTCTAACCTACTTTTTAAAAAACATATATATTATAATAATACTAATTTCTTTATTATTTGTTTAGTTACACATTATGAAAAACAAGAATTAAAAAACTCATAATTTAGATATTGATTCCAATGATCTATGCCAACCTTATTTGCGTCAGCAATGATAACATCATTGTGGTGTCCAAGAACGAGCCCCAGAGGTCGACCACCTGTCTTAGCCCAGTTTTCGACCACCGAGTCAGCCACAGACTCGTTCACCGTGACTCGCTTGATCCACCCATCCGAACAACCAGTGTAAATGAGTCCTGAGTTTGGATCGTAAGCAAGGTCTTCGGGTCCAAACAACTGCCCGACTCCGACCGTCTCTGCACCCCGAAGCACGTGCGAGTTGTGCCTAGGAGCTGGGTCGAACGAGTCGAGTTGGTAGAAAAGCACTACATACAGGTAGCAGAATAATGGCCGATAGAAAAAGGACATGAGGCCTTGATTCGGACATTGCTGCTGTGCCAAAATGACGGAGGTAGGTTGTGGAACAAGGATGGTTATGAAACTCTTCACCACCCTTAACTACTCCTATTTATATAGTATTTATAGTATTTATGTAGTATTTTAAATACAAATTGTTACATGTAATTTTACTTTTTGAAATATTTAGGGTTGGTTTGACAAGTGTAAAAGAAGTCAAAAAATTAAAAAGTTATCAAAAAAAATTAAAAAGTTATCACTATTTATTAAAAAAAATATAAAAAAAAACTAATAAATAAATATTAAAATATAAATCAAAAAGTTTGGCCCATCAATGTCCGACGTCAAGCCAAGCGCAGGGAAGGGCAAAAAAAAAATTACACGTGTACATTCACTAAGTTAGATGGTAAAGTTGGACTCGTGGGGGCCATTATAGGTCCCGTTTTGATAATTCGAACCGTGCAATATGTAGAACTTGTCTAATAGTATATGTTTATAAAACTCATGTCTATCAGACATCGCTAACTATATGATCAAATCCGTTTTATATAACAATTAGATAGTGTTATAGTTAACAGTTGACAAAAAAAACTAACACAATCAGATAGTTATCGATATTCAATCAACATGATTTTTTATAAGCATATAGTACTCGACGAGTTCTACACATTGAACGATTCCGATTGGAAAAATGGAACCCGTGGTGAACAACACCGTCTGATCAAAACCCAAAAATGAGACAATTTTTTCCCATGTATTCACCGAGCTAACTGACTGTCAATCCATACTGTGTATTAGACTATCTTCTCCTACACACTTATTTATATAATTTTTTAATACATATTTTTTTCATAAAAAGTCAAAAAGTTAACACAAACATCCATATTTTTTTCCTTAACTTTTTAATCTAAAAAGATAAAAAATACATTTATTTAAGACACCCCAAACAATCACTTAATTTTATAATAAATATTTCATTTTATTAATAAATTGCACCCTTCAATCTAAAAATAGACTGGAGGCACGCCTATCTCATATTAGAAATAGACTGGAGGCACGCCTATCTCATATTAGATAATGTCGTGTTAGTATTGTCGATATCGGGTGCGACTAGTTATTTATGCAAATTAAAAATCCATCACAGTTCATTTTAGTGGTTTCAAATTTTAATTTGTATGTGATTGTCAAATCTAGATGTTGATTTATAAAATTAAAAAATTAAAAAAAAAAAATTGTCAAACTTACCGCTGTCTAACATTAGATTAAACCCTTCTTCTTCTTCTTCTTCTTCTTCTTCTTCTTCTTCTTCTTCTTCTTCTTCTTCTTCTTCTTCTTCTTCTTCTTCTTCTTCTTCTTCCCTATATATTAATAGTGGTTAGCTTGTTAGTTGCTATAGGATAAGGACAACACAAAAAGTATTAAACTTTTTTTTTCTTAAAATTTGAACCCACAATCTTACATTACAAAATGAGATTACACAATTAAAAAGTAAAATTCTTGAATATAAATGATTCGGTTCAATTAATATTTAGATATATCAAACTGAGTCTTTTAATTTTTGTATGAGTAAATTTCCGACCACACTGCCAACTTAGTTTTCAGCTAGAGAGCACTGGCAGAATAGATGGCGCCTGATTAACCTGCAATAGAAATGAGAAATTCCGACGGTAGTTCGTCCACCCGGGGCACTCCGATGATCAAGTTAGTTATCTCTCAAAGATAGATAAAGTGCTAAACTCATTATTCTGAATATAAATTGCTTCCCTTAGACCCATGTGGGTGCCTTTCTTTTTATAGTCAACACACTCCTAGTTCCAATAGAAGCCTAGCTTCAATAGACTTCAGCTCAGTACTTATCTTGGACTCTTCAATAGATAAAGATAAACTTTCTAAAAGCTTTATCCTTATCCAGGTTGAGCTCCTTTCTCATTCTAGGGCTCTTGTCCCTTATCCGTTTATCCCGAACTCCGATATCTTCGGAAGTAACCTCGGCCTAGCCGAGATCACCTCGGCGTCATGACCAGGACACGTGGCACCTCGACTGACATGTCGGCGTCACCTTGACCACGTGTTGGTGCTTAGAAAACATATCTCCACAACTGCCCCCTAGGTTCTATTACCTCGGCATCTTGAAGTAATGGAACCTATATCGTTATATCGTATAGCATGTCGGCTATCTCGTGATATTATCCATTTACCGAGGTCATAATATGCCGGCTCAATATGACGAAGAACTTACAATCTGCTTTCAAACAAAATTTTTTAACCAAGTCTGTTCAAGTTCCTCAGCTGAGATCATCCTCCAAGCCGAGGTTCTACTCCGTTTAAATCAAGAATTCTAAGAGCTTCAACACGTGTATGAGCTGTCACGCATGACTACCCAACCGTTTTTGCCACGCGTCTTTCTCTCTTTGGGTCATACCCGACACGCGCCATTAAGTCGAATTGCTTTCGCGTGCGCCGTCTGACATATACGTCATTTTAGGTACATTAATTGCCTTTTTGCCGCCGTTTCGAGTTTAGACAAAACTTCATTTCTTCTTTCCGTCTCTTCACTTTACACCACCGTTTCTGAAGCTTTTTATCTCTCTAACTTTTTCTCCTAAGTCTACCATTGTCGCTCCCGCGAAGCTTTCTGCAATTACTTCCGTTCACTTCCCTCCAGCGAGGATTTTTGCTGCATTCTTCAAGTTACTGCCACCGTCTGATCTCGGCGACTCTAATTTTCCCTTGTAAGTCACTGTTGCTTCGTTTCGATTTTTATTCTTTCTCAAACTGTTATATCTGTATACTGTAATTGCAATGTTGTTCACATTTGTCTTTTTGAATCCAATCATGTATTCTGAACCGTTTTTTTAATATACACATAATACCCACATACTTGTTCATTTTGCCACTGTTCTTGGCCTTGCACCCTTGCACACACTTTGTCACAGTATTCTTGATAATTCGCCCCTATTCTTGATTCTGAATCATTGCTCTTGTTTCTGTTTGTCGTGTTTTTTCCAGATTCTTGCCTCCAATCTTCGTTTCCATAGATCTAGGTTTGGGATTTGTTTATAGAACCCACAAATTTTAAGAAGAACTGAAACGATCCCCACAAATTCTTACCCCAGCTCACTTTTAGGTTTTTGCCGAGGTCTCTATAAACTCTACAAAATACCTTCTTTTTGAAATCCAACTCCTTCAAGTTAAGCCGACGTTATGGGTATGTGGAAGCATAGGGTAGACACCCCGACTAAGTTAGAACACTTTAGGCGGGAGTTTGACATCCCGACCGACGTTCATCTAAGGTTGGCTGGGGAGGATGACTCTATCATGCCCACAACTGATTCTATGCCCTTCCCTGTTGTAGCTTTTATTGAGTGCGAACTTAGGTTCCCACTCAACATCCTTTTTCGTGAGATACTCCATTACTATAAGTTGAACCCGATGCAGCTCACCATCAATTCCTACCGAGTCATCAATGGAATAATAGCTTTAGCCAAACAAGAGAATGCTAGGGTTACCTTAGCCAACATCCAATACTGCTACACCATGTGTGGCCTTAAATTAGAGAAAGGTTATATTTACTACCTCAAGTCGAGGTCCACAGAGTATAAAATTGTCGCCGACTTCCCAGACTCCAACAAGGGAGCCGGGGATGATTACTTCATTATCTCGGGGAACTGGGAGTTCGCTCCAGATGAGGACCTCCACCTGCACCCTCTTCCTCGAACAGTTTTTGTAAAGTGTAATGGTAAGGGCCTAGTGTTTATACTTACTTGTTTTTAAAATCTTCAATACTTTGTTTGTTCTAATGTCTGTTTTTCTTGCAGCTCTTCCCCAACCAGAAAAAGGCTTTCGCAAGTCCTTTTTCAACAGCAAGGGTTTGAAGAAGCTATTGGATTTGCCAGTCCACAAGCGCAGAGCCCCTTTGGTACTCAACTTTATCCCGACCTATAAGTCGGTACTCCCCGACGTCCCAAAGAGGAGGAAAAGCCATTCTCCCCCTTCTGCCACAACTCCTCCAACAGCATCCTCATCTCGGCCAGATCAAGGGTCAACCTCAGATCCAGCTGAGCAGCCATCCACCTCAGATCCACAACTGATCCCACCATCTCAATGCCGACGACAACGTCGAACTGTTTTTGCTGCCGAGATGGGCCGCTACAAAACAGTTGCTAAAGACCTCTTGGCTGACATTCCATCCACCGTAGACGCGCAACCAACGCAGTCCCAGCCTTTACCAAAGTCAAAGCCAAAAAGAATAAAGAAGGCTCAGCCAAAGGCAACGGTGACTCAGATTGATACTGAGGACACATTGCCAATTTCAAAATTAGTTGAGAGTGATAAGTCCCATTCTGCTGCCGAGAAGAGGACCGCCGAGGCCCAACCCTCCGAATCCACTAGATCAAAGACGCCGAGGTCATCTTCTGCGACCACCTCTGGGCCATTAAAACATGACTCCCCCTGGGCCCCGCCAATTACGATTGACGACAATCCGGTTAAGGCTGGTGATAGCGTTAACAACATTGAGGTCGGCGTTGCCCTTTCCACTGCCTTATTGTGGCCCGAAGATCTTAATTGTAATTAAGAGGGAAAAATATGGTCTGGATTAGGCCATAGTAATACCAGACAAATTGTGGGCCGAACACATTTGGGCCGTGGTATCCCGGGTCCACCCAGAAGTGATTTTTGCTCGGCAATGGCAAGGGCATGTGGAACCGAGCTACTTCACCTTGTCGGCATGGAGGCTGGTCAAGTAAGGGTTCCACGGTTTATGCGTTGCGCGGTTGGAAAGCACGCATCCATAGCTCGGCGTGAAGGCTCATGCTTGAAGCTCGGCAGGAAGGACTTTGGTTGACCGATATGACTAATCTCAAGCTTGGCTTCGCCGGAATGCAGTCGAGCATGGCTGGAAAGGAGCTCGGTTATTGGGGACACCTAGGCATGAATCGCAGCATGGCCGTTGACAGCCGAGATGCTACAGCCCGGCTGCCGAGCTCCCAATACAGTGGGTTGGTAGTCGG